AGGAAGGTCTCTTTGCTCCAGCAGCTCACCTTCCTGCCTCAAACTCAGTTATCTAAGGATATTATGCTTGGATCTGTGTCATCCATCTTGTGACCATGAGGTAATAAACTAACATACTACGGATGGCCAAGGAGAGTAATGGAAAGAGCGTGGGTCATTGATAACATTGTTTAGTCGCTGCACCAGGCCTGGTACCACCTACCTCCAGATTTCCTGTTATTTGAGATAATTAAGGCTCGTTGTTGCTTAAGCCATGATATGGTTTGTCACTTGCAGCAGAACGAATGATGCACGTCCCAAATTATCTATCAGCCAGAAGATGGAAAGATATTTTCATTTTCAGACTTGGAAGTAATCAAATAGTCACATCTCAAGCACTCTGTTCCAGGGATGTACCTGAAGATTTATTTCAGTAACCTGAGGAAGGCCATCAAGAAAGGAAATAGAATCCACCCAAAAAGAGCATAAGAGGGAAGTGCTGATGTGACAGCACACAGCCTGGCAGTGACGAACCAAACTGACAGAAAGAGAAAGGGTTGGAAGGACAGACCAGGGAGGGAGAGACAGAAAGAGGTTCTCAGGGGAAAAAAACACATGGTGGACTCAGTGGATAGAAAGTATGATTGAATCTGGGCCACAGTAGGCATAGGATTATGTCATAGAGGGTAATAAATACAGAAAGGAAAAAAGAAAGAGTCAAGTAGGGCCCCTGGGTCTGGGCAACCTGCGGAGGGCAGGTAGGGAAAATACAAGAAAGACCAGGTACAAATATGCACTGAACCACGTTGCTGTTTGCTAAGAAGTGAGGCCAACGAAGGAAAGAGAAAACATGTACTCTTTACGAAGTAGGAACAGTCACCTTTGAGAATTCCGTAAATCTTGGCTTAGCTACGAACACCACTTATTTAGTTTAAAAAATAAATATAAGTAGATGTAATAGAATTATGTAAATGTAAATAGGCAGAACTAACTGTTAGACAAAGAACAGAAGTGTTGGTTCTGGTTGTCTGACAATATCTAGGACGTCTTGTTACAGATTATGTAAAAATGCAGCTGATGTAGAGCAGGAATTCACAGTGAAGTATGAAACTGGGTGAAGGCACAGTTTTTATCCTTAACTTACACGCTGGTAGTAGCTAGTAGATACTGGCCAGCACCGGGGGGCTAAGAAAGACATGTTTAAATGTGCCATTTAATGTTAAAAGTAACCAAGAGAATCACTAAGAAGAATAGAATATCACACATTTGCAGATCTGGTGAAGGAGAGGAGTGTGAATGAAATCATCGTCTTTTATATGGGAATATCTCACACGATCCTCTTGCTCCCTGTGTGCCTGCTGAATCCCACCTCAGACTGTCATCCGCTCTATGACACATCCCGGCCACCTGTCACCCTGGCCACAGGCTGCAACGGTTCATAGCTGTGTGTCCCCTCTTTGGCATTCTTCCATTCACTCACCCATTCGACAGTACTGCTCAAAGGTGTGTTGTGTTCCAGTTTCTGCTATAGATGCTAAAATACAACTGTAAAAAAACAAGACACACAGGGACGCTCTTCTTCCGGAACTGACACTTTACAGAGAGGGACACACTTTAAAGAATTAAAGATTCAATTACAAAATTAAATAAGGAATTGTAATTGCGAGAGGGACTACAAAAGAGACGTACAGGGAGCCAGGAGGATACAGAAGCACAGGAGTGAACTTAGTTTGGGGAAATCCAGGAAGGCTTCCCTAAGGAGGTGATGCATTAAGTCGCTCTCTGAAGAATGATGGACATTAACAAGCTGAAGGGGTGGGCTGTGGAGCAGAAGGCGAGGTGTGAGGAGCAGGGTGCGGAGCAGGAAGGAGGGAGTGGAGCAGGAAGGGGGTTGGAATATGGAGAGTCAGGGATGGGGAGCTCACTGCAGTACTGGGCAGGGAGAAACGCAGGGACTGCATCTTACAGGACCTTGAGGCCACGTTACAGGTTTTGTCTTTCTCATAGGAGAATGGAGAGGCCACTACAGAGGAACTTCAATGAGATTTGACTGTGACTAAATCAGTGGTGAGCAAGCAGCAGCTCTGCTTTTGTAAATCAGGGTTTATTGGAACATAGCCACGCTCTTCGTTTGCTCACCTAGGGCTGCTCTCACACTGTTAGGGCAGAGGAGCGGCCGTGCAACCGGGCTCGTGCAGGTCGCAAAGCCCAAAGCGCTTGCTCCTTTGCTGTTCACAGAAAACAGCCCCTGGAACAGATCATCCCACGAGCAGGCCGGCGGCACCCGTGCTTTGCTGCCAGCACTGCCCGTGCTCAGGCCACCTGTATGCCTGCTTGATTTGTCCATTGTTCGTCTGTGAGCTCCTTCTGGAACAAGGACTGTGTTCAATTCACCTTCGTTTCCCTAACTCCTAACACATTATTGCACAGTGAACACTTGACTGAATTAATCCCATTTGTGTACCTCCCAGAGCATTCAGGCCAGCTGCTAATGTAACTGATTTGGAAGTTAAAGTCGGAGAGTTTGAGGGACTTTCTTCAAAACATCCAGGAACCATATTGGGTCTTAAATTGAGGTCTCTAGATTCTTATTCCTGTCATCTTTGTTCTTGCTTTAGTGCAGCTGTCTGAATTTGTCTACAAATATGCAATTATTTGAATATTACTAGAACCAGAAACCTGGAGATCTCTATCGACTTAAGAGAGTCGTACTTTTAGTAGTGATGACTCATTTCGAAGAAAAACGTGCCCAGGAATTTCATCTAAATCTATTATAATCGTCCCTGTAGAGCAGGCATTTGGGCATCATCCTGGCAAGCCCAGCTGAGCGAAACACCCGCGAAAGCTTTGGAGATTCTGTGAAGAGCCCTACACAGGGGTCAGAGATGCAGAAGGCTCCATACTTCTGTACCATATGCCTGGTTGCCCTTCCTATTAGGAGGCTGGAAATATAATTAGGAGGCAAGCACCCCAGATGCTGCAGTTTACAATAACCAGAAGAAACCGCCGAAACGGGTAAGACATGAAAGGATAATTTTGCTTATACAAAATAGCAGACTGCAAACTCAAACCAAGAAAAACAAACAGGCAGATGGAACGAGTGGAGAAGGCACTGGCACAGCTGTGAGCAAGATTTAGATACCCAGATGCGACATCATTTGGGGGGAGGGGTGGGAGAGGAAGAGAATACTAAAAAAAAATCTAGAAACAGAAAAGATACTGGAGAATAGGGAGTTCCTCTCCCCATCTCTCCACCTGCAGGTTAAGCCTCTTCACATCCACCTCCTCCTACGGCGGCTGCTGAAAGTCATCTCCCGGGGACGGGAGGAGAGGACGCGAGGACAGAGAGAGATGAGCAGGAGGCAGTCCCAGGAGAGAAGGCGGCGACGGTGAAGCCAACAGCTCTGACTGCAGTGCAAGAAGAACGACGCAGCCCTTGCCCAGAAGAGGGTGAACAGGAGTGCTTGGCTTTATTATCAGCAGCATTATTTAGATAACCACACACGTGCATGGCTGTCTTTCTAGACTGAGCCACGGGCGTGGGAAGGGCGCGAGAGAGTAACACGGCGCATGCGCGTGGGGGCTCTGCTCTGCATGAACCGCCGTGATGGAGACTGGGCAGGTCACCCTCGTCAGTCCCCCTGCACCACCACCAACAGCACACAAACTCAGTGCCGTACTGTCTTCCTTATTTTGGGGGGTTAGGAACGTGTAGGTCTAAGGGGAGGAGCCGGGATTTCAACGTGGGTCTTTATCACGTTCTAGAGCGGCGACTTCTGCAACCACTTCAGTACAAACACAAGTCAGTCTCTAGAAGAAACACTTCTGTCATGTCAAAACCAAATGTGACACCAGAAGGGAGCAGCAGTGGGTGCTTTAGCAAACAGTCGCTCAGAAGAGAAAGATCTGTTGGCCAGAGGAGACTCGCGGAATGAAACCTCCCTCTGCCCCGCCTCTGGAGCACCGCGTTTTCACTTCTCTCCCAGTGTGAGCGCATCATTTTTCTTCTTTTACAGCTGGCTGTTCATGCATTTTCACTCTCACTCTAATGTGAGAGCCCCTGGGGGGCAATCTTGGGCCTTACTCATCCTCATAGACCCAGACCCAGGAAAGAGCCTGACCCTACCTGGGCAACGGCCACCTCCCGGAAGCCCCACTGACGTTGGCTGGTGTGCGAGGAGGCGGAGCTGTGTGTCGAGGAGTTCCCCACCGAGCAGGTGGGCAGTGGATGATGGCAAAGGATGGCCCTGCTCCAACGAGCCAGCTTCCAGGAAGTTCCCAGCCACATTCACATCTCCCTCCCCTGAATCCTCAGGGCAATCTATTTGCTGTGCCCCGTGGCCCCCAGACCATCACATTCTCCTCCCAGTCCTGTGTACCAGGTGGACATTTATCCCTGGAGCTATTTATGCCCACGGCTGGTTTTCCTCTTAGCTTCCTTGACATGACCTGGTCAAGCAAAGTGATCACGTATTTTGAACAAAAGAATGTGCTTCTTTTCTAAACAAAATTTCCTTATTTACAAAGTGTAGCTCAAAAACTTCTTTCACAGATCATCGATACTAATGCCACTTTTTTCCCCATGATGGATTACTTTATCCCCTTCCCAAAGCCCCTGGAAGGACACAGGAGGGCTGGAATCCTTGAGTGGGGGTGTGACTCTTTCCTGGTGGCAACAGGACCTCTCAGCCTGTTGCCACAGGAAATAAGGCAGAGTTCCCATATCTTGGAGGTTATGTCTCTTCGTGGGAAGAGAAAAACCGTCGCCCTGCATTCCAGCTCCTGGGCTGTTTGCACCAGCTATTTTGGGGAAGGGGAAAGCCAGGCTCACAACACTTTCCCCAGAGAAAAGATGCCAATGTCAGTGTCAACCATTAGGAAATGCCATTAAAACAGATGAGAAACGGGCTGTGGACATTTTTATGAGCCCAGAATACTCTGCTTGGAGATTTTATGGAGACCACAGGAAGCCAGAGAGACAATGACATTCATACCCTTTTTTAGAGTCTGGTGAGGAGCAGTTTTTTTTTTTTTTTTGTCCTCAACAGAGTGTGTTTTTTGAAAAGGGAAAGTTACTGCTGAGGGCCACGTCCAAGTAAACCTTATTCAGAGAATTTGTTGATCTGTTAGGGATAGAATGCTCTGGGCCAAGTAGCTGTGGGCTCAGTGCCCAAGTCCTTCCAGAACTGCAAAGAAGATTCTTCGTTTTGATTCCAGGATCCTCTGGGAACTGGTCTGTAGAGAATGCTATTCTGCTTAAACCTCTGTGGTTGCAACAGTTCATCTGTAATCGCTCTGTATTTGTTTTCCTTTTTTTTTTTTTTTCACACGACACGATGGAGTTCAGAAAGGTTGAGAAACTTGTGCAGACGTACAATGGTCGGCACTGGGGTCAGCCTTCAACTCTGCACTTTCCTCCGTATCACGTTTCCTCTCCACCCAGGCCCAGAGATGCAGATTTAAGGCAGGGACAGGGAAAAGGGCCACACAAATAAAACTGTCCCCAGGTGAGGTGTCATGGGCCTTTATGGAGGTCTCCCAGCTCAGCAGAAATATTTCCTTCTGTCGGTCAGGAGCTGCGTTTTCAAGGCATTGATCCACACAGCGAAATAGGAGGTAGGTGGGCAAATTCCTGGCAGTTTGCTTTCTGCCTTCACAGTACTGCAACCGTGTCTTTTCCCTGGAGTCCCAGGAGAGGGAAGGGGCAGATCATCCAGAATATTCCTGAAATGCAGAGCTTTTCTATTTATATTGCCATCTTGTGGTCATGCTGTGTTACTGCAGTCTGCATTGCCTCACGAGCTGAACATTCAGCATTAACAATCTTCCTTTTACATTTCCATGTATTCATTGAACCAGATGTTTCTAAGCCCTTGGTAGGTGCCAGGCACTGTCTAGGCACTTGAGAATATTAGGACAGACTTACAGCAGAACTGTGGGAAAGACCAAAAGAAGCAATTATAGCAGCTCACTTCTGATAAATTTAAGGACTCGAATTCGGGGAGCACCTGCTGCGCAGCGTACCAAGAATTCAGCAACAACGGTGCTGTCCGTGCTGCATTTGTTGCTCTATCTTATCTCCACGATGACCCGACCTGGCGACCATCCTCATTCACATTTCCGATTTGAGGGAACTAAAGCTATGAGAGGTTATTTAAACTATCCAAGTTTTAAAAAGCTCGTAGGTGGTGAAGTTAGGGCTTAGAAAACTGACGGTTCTTATCTCAGAGTCCAAACCACACTGTTCTGTGTGCAAACCGCAGGTGGAGATTAACGCCAATGGTGAGGTGACATTTGAGAACGACTTATAGAACGGCCATCCAGGAGGATTTAACCCGTGAAAATAACGGGTTATTAAACTTTCCAGATGTCTAGAGGTTACATTCTATTCAACTTAGTTCAGTTCTCCAGCGAGCTCGCAATCTCTCCAAACCAACCAACCAACCAACCAACCACACTGTTAACATCCTTGTGTCTACACTTCAGCTGGGTTTCTTGTACAAACTCATAAACACGTGTATATATAAACAAAAAAGGGAATCATGTTGTAAGTACTGCGCTGTAACAAGCTTGCTTTATCTAATTTATCAGATTTCTATTGCTGTCTATCAAATTATCACTTCATGGCTTGACCATTTATCTCATTGTTCTATAGGTCGGAAGTCCAGGCAGGCTCGATGGGTTCTCTGCTTAGGGTCTCAACAGGGTCAAAGTCAAGGTGTCTGTGGCATTGGGCTTGGGGCTGAAGGGTCTACAGGAGAATCTGCTTCTGAGCTCATTCAGGCTGTTGGCAGAATGCAGTTCTTTGTGGTCGTGGGACTGAGAGCCCCTTTTTCTTGCTGGGTGGTGGCCAGAGACCAGTCTCTGTACCTGGAGGCAGCCCTCAGGTCCTTGTCAGTGGCCCCATCACAGCAGTGGAGAGCCTCCCACAGCGCCAGTCTCTGCTCCTGACTTCCCTTTCGCCGACTATCTGGAGAAATCTCTCCGTTTTAAAGGGCTCTTGTCAGTAAGTCAGGTCCACCCAGATAATCTTCCCCAAGTTAAGTTCAGCCAAGTAGTACCCCGCGTTACAATGCAAAATCCCGCTTGCTGTGTAATGTAACATACCATGGGAGTGCCCCCGGGGACGGAAGTCACGGGCCATCTTAGAATCCTGCCCCCTGCATTTTACAATCATGCTTTCTATGCATATTTACTGAGGGTCTGCTGTGGGCTAGATTCTTGGCCCTCGAGCTGTGACAGTGAACAAAACAGACGAGACCCTGCATTCATGGAGCGGACATGCTAGTGTTCTGGAAAGAGGATCGATTTGCATTTCATGAAACATCCTCGTGCTTTTCCACTATTTATGGCTGTGCAGTCCCACGGTACAAATGTACCATACCTGAAACAAACTAATTCCAGTTATTGGGCAGTTGATTTTCACTTCTATTTTTGAATTTATAAACAACACTGCAGGGATGTTCTTTTATCAGATAGGTGCCTGGAGATGGAATGCCTGAGCCAAAGTGTATGATTTTGATTCTTGTTATTTAATTGCTTCCTGGAAACATTTCTGCCAATATTGCTATTTTTTTTTCATCTTTGCAAATCTTTCTAGTTAGATTGAACATTTTATATATATATATATAGAGAGAGAGAGAGAGAGAGAGAATATCTGTAACTCTTTTATGTTTTTCCTGTTCACATTTTTTCCCACTAGATTTCTTTTCTTTTTTGAATCATTTTGTTAGAGTTCTTTAAATATTAAGGCATTAATTCTTCTGTCATATACACTGCACATTTTATCCCAGTTCATTGTCTTATGATTTTATTTATGACATCTTTTGATAGGAGGGATTTTTAAAATCCAACTTTTTCATGTTTTTCTTTATGGTTGTGCTTTTCGGTAAAGCCCTTTTCACCCCTTTATATAAGTATGCACATATATTTTCTTTCAAGTTTATTTTTATTATGGAAATATTTAACTTGGCCCTAAATTAGGAATTTTACCTTATTTTTCAAAAGGGTAACCAGTTGCTCTGCCACTATTTCATGAATAAACCAAATATTTCAACATGTCCAAATGTTTCTTCTGGACTTATAGCTCCGCTGCGCGGGGTCTCCTGGGTGACCCGCACGCTACCTTGTTAGAGCTTTATGGGGCTTCCATGTCTGATAAGCCAAGTCCTTTATCGTTACTCCTACAGTAAATAGGAAAAGGTCTGGCCATCCTCACAGTTTATCCTTTCAGATGTGCCATAAATATAATTGTTAATTCAAATGCAGACTTTCAGTGTTCCATATGAACATGAGAACAGCACGGGAAGGAAAGTCAGCTTTAGAATCACGATGAATTAACTTCGCGTATCCCTGCGCTTTCTCCCAGCCCACCCACAGGCCCCCGTTAGAGATCCCCCCAGAGTATCTGTTGAAAACCTCCCTCCGTCTGTGTCTTTTACTTCTTCATCTACCGCCTCCAGTCAGTTACGTATGCCAGCTGCTCTCACTCACCATTGTTTGAAGTACATCAGTTGTGTTCCAGGCGCCCACTGGCTTGGTCCTGGTGGTCAGTACTTGGCTAGTCTGTTGAGTGGCCTCCTAACCGTCTCTGCTGTCTTCGGTCCCTTCTCCAGAGGGACCACCACAATGATCATCTCAAAGGCTGACCTGATCACGTCTCTTCCGCTTTTAAGACTTGCAACTGCCCCTCATCACCTGCGATACAAGAAGTACAAAATCCTTAGTCTAGACTTCACACGCTGGTCTTTATCTATCTTTCCAACTCCATCTCCTCTCAGACCCTGTCTTCCAACTTTATTCTACTTGCTCCTCCCTCCCTCCCTCCCCCCACCAGGCTATTCTTACCTCACTTCCTTGGATTTTTTTTTAATTGAACTGTAGTTGACTTACAAATTGTAATAGTTTCAGATGCACAGCAAAGTGATTCAGGTGCGTGTATATCTTTCCTTTTTTGATGCAGTTTCCTGACATGCCCTTCCTGGTGCGCCAGCTTCCCGTGTGAATGAGCTCACACCTGCCTCTGTTTTAAGACTGAGCTCCGACCTTACCTTCTTCAAGTAGCGCTCTGTGACAGTCCCCAGTTCCTCCTCCCCCACAGTCCACCCCAGACCCTCCCCCACTCCACATTCCCAAACACGTGGAGAGCAGGTGAGTGATCTTCATAGTCTCACATCGTTATCAAAACCTCTCCACACAACATTATCGTTTTCTATTTAGGTCTTTGTGTTTGATAAACATAAATTACATGATGGTTCAGGCCACATCTTGTTGATGTATAAGTTTACAGACTGTAATTATGGAAAAACCTAATAAATACATGTGTATATGTATATATTCTCTCTCATAGCTGTTTAAGCTTCGATAAACTCCTGCCAGAATTCATCATCTTTATCCATCCCTTTCTTCAGTACCTACCACCTCTCCCAGTTTCACACTCTCTGTTTTGATCACAGCCCTTAAAAGCAATCTGAACTCTGCTTTGAAGGATGGAATAATTCTTTGGGGAAATTTTGTCTTGCCAGTCAAGCAGAGCTGGCATGGATTTTGTGAGTCGGTTCTCTCCTATTGCAAATTTCGGAGTCTAAAAAAACTAAGAGGAGCAGGACATTTTTTCTCCCAGGTTAAAGAGTATCTTTAATACCAAGTTCTCATGTGTTAACACTTCCTGGAGCCCCAGTGCCCACAGTTCCTGGGAGACAAGAAGGAGCTTTCATCGAAAATATTCTGCTTGGCTCTGCAGACCTCTCTGAAATTAACTTTCCGAGTTATCCAGGCCACTCTAGGTTGCTATGGAAACCAACATGTCAGATCAGCAAAAAATAAGATAGAGATTTGGAAGAAGTCACTGACGCTTCAACCTCCTTTTCAGTCTCTCTCTCATTCTCTTTTTGCACAGACGTGTGTGTATGTGTGTTTGTGTGCGTGTGTGTGCGTGAGTGTTTGTGCATGACTCTGCCTGGATGAGAGCTTGGTGTGAAAAACCACCCTGTCCCTTTTCCACTGAGTGTGTGTAAAACGTTGGGGCTCCCCAGCTGGTTTTTAATACTGTCAGGGTCGGGGGCTTCTTATGAAAGTCACCCCAGCCTAGAGGACTGCAAAGAGAGCATTACTTTTCTTATTAGCATCTAAATGGGCTCCAGAGAAGAAAGAGTTATGTAAGGAGAAATTACCCACTGTCAGTCCTGAGGACTAAGCCACATTCCACGGAAAGGAAAATAAAAAACTGCGGTCAGTATTTTGCTAATGTCTCTGCTGTTAATACAGGGCCCCAGTCCAGAGCCAGAGAAAACATGTCATTCAGACCTCGGAGGAGGCTCTTGTAAAAGTCCCTGTTTCAGCTTGGTCAGGGAACCCACCCAGGCGGCGCAGCGGGAAATGTTTCCAGCCTGAGAAATTGCGGCTAGATGCTCCAGTTGCTCTGGGCTCTAGTTTGGAATGAATTAGACTAATGAGAAAAGCCCAGTTGCTGGCTCTTATTCAGGCTTTCATTCACCAGGATGGTGAGGCAGACAAGCTCTGGGGTTCTCGAATGTTCCTGGCTGCTTTCTATACACACTGGGGTTGGAGAGAGAGAGGGTGGCCCCTGGTTGCTGAGATATTTAGGGCAATGTGTGATGTGAGTAAAGTCTGGAATTCAAACCCCTTAGGGAGGAAGTGGACAGTTCTGAGCACTGATTGCCCACCAGGTACCGTCCCAAAGTGTCTCAAACACAGTTTATGAAGCTCATTTAGTTCTCACGTCAAGCCTGCATGCTGCACATTGGCCAGGTTTTGCAGATGCAGAAACTGAGAAACAGAGAGGTTGAATAAAATGCCCAAGGTCACACAGCTAGTGAGACGCCAGTGTGAGATCTGATCCCAAGCCTTCAGGGCATCAAACCCTGTTTTTCTTTCCCGTCTTCTTCCCATTATGACACAGTAACTGTTCCGGGGACACATACAATGATGAAAGTGCCCCGTTTATGTACATTGCTGTTCTTGCCTCGTCACTGCCTGGATATACAAATGATTTCGGAGAGCTCTGTTAGAGACAGCATTAATAACTCCTTGAAACCTAGTCTTTCCCACTGGGAGACTGAGCAACTGATTTAAGATGAGTCGGGGGAAGAAAATTAAAGTTGAATTTCTTTTCTCCCTCTCTCCTTCCCTCTCAATAATTCAGCAAGTGATTTTTGAACAGGTGTTCTGTTCCAGCCTCTGAACTAGGCATAGAGCTAGAGAGATGCGTCCGTTACACTGAATTTCAGTCCCCCTGGGAGAGGAAGGCGTTCCCAGAACAGGATGAGGCTTTAGAGTCTTCCTGGATGCAAACTGTTCTGTTACTAGCCGTAGCGGACGGGTTTCTCTTAGCTTCCCTTTGCATGTAGAAGAGTGTCAAGATTTTCTTTTAGGTGCATCTTTCTAGATATATTGTGGCAAAAAGATGTCAAGCCATTTATCTTTCACTTCACAAATATTTATGGAATGCTGACCTGATGGCAGACACCCCTCATGGCACTCCCAGGGAGTGAAGGTCTTTGCCCTTGTGGAGAACTCATATTGTCTAATGTTCTAACCATGGCAATAACTTCTATAAGTATTGTGTACTGGGAATCTTTCTAAACATTGTTTATACATTAACATGAGTAGGTCCATCATGACCTAGAGATAATGAAATTATCATTACCATTCTACAGATCAGAAAACCGACGCCCCGGGAGTGAAGGGCATACTAATTGATGTATATGAAGGAACACATGCATGAGTAAATAAAGCAGAGATTCAAGAGATTCAAACTCAAGTCCCTTTCAAATTGGAACCATCACAATCTGCTGCCACTCAAAGCCAGTGGCTTGTCATTCTAGCCCAGTTCCATGGTGTTCTTCATCTAAGACTGGTGATTTTGACCCATCTCCTTTGTGTTGATGAAATGCTATAGAGAAGGTTCTTTCAGGAATAATGCTACACTGAGGCTGAGAAACAGTTCGGAAGAAGTCAGACTTGGGGCAAGCCATGAGCCATACATCATACGTGAGACTTTTGAGACTCAAGACCATCAGGGTTTCTCAGATGTAGCAATACCATGGAATTGCGGCTCGATATTCTGTAAAATTCTAAAATAATCATTTGACATTTCTCCTCCCGGTGACTAGAAATTCTAAGCCATCACTCTGCCCTTGCTCCTTTTACTAGGGTTTCCTGTTGGTGACGTAAACAGATCTACATGGCTAGCAAACATGCTTCCAGTACTGTGGATTCACTGAATGCACCATAGGTGTGTATCTTTTAATAGAAAGAGTAGTGTGTTAGACAGGCACGTGCTGATGTTCCTTTTCACAAAAATCCTTTACACAAGGGCATCCTGACTAATGACGGCATACTCAGAACAAAAGGAGAATGACACTAAAGCGATGATGTATGGTGGTGAGGTAGGGATTTCATTTGTCATCATAGGACACCATTATCCTTGTTGTGGTTGTGCAGCCTGGACAGTCAAAGTCCTACTGTGGTCCAGCTAAATTTGAGATTAAGGGGATCTTTTCTGGGTAGCCTACGCATTGCAGAAAACAACAAAAAAAGAGAGAGTGGAGAGAGAGAGAGGGAGAGAGAAAGAAAACAAGGAACAAAAACTGCACAATTTTATTAAAAAATATTAGTACTACATGATCAATTTGCCCTTTTACTACTGGTAGTCTATAAATCTCTAATGAAAACCAAAAGAGTAAATTCAGCTAGGAAGGAGAAATTCAGCGTGTTGTCTGAAATCGGGAGATAGCTTTGGTAACTCGGTAGAAAGCAAGTATTTTCACACCAGTTCTCCTAGTCTACTTGTCTTCTCAGCACAAGTAATTTAGCAGACTTATTTATCAGCTTATTCATTGGTAGTCAGAAGTTCTCAGGTCATGGTGTGGGTGACATGGACTAGGATGACCTCTACACATATTTTAATGGTCGTGGCTTATGCAGTTGCTCAGAGTTGAAGTGTTATATTCGCATTGTGTAATACTAGGTATATTTGCTTCTTCCAATGTGCAGTGCTAAGTGCCAAAGACAATATATTTGCTTTTCAACTTTTCATTACAACTATAACATACAGTAAAGTGCACAAAACTTATTGCATTTTTTTTTTGCTTAAAGCAAACATCCCCATGTAACTATCACTCACAAAATATAAAACACTACATAGAACATGAATTTTTCACTCATGCTGCCTTCCAGGTGTCACTGCACTCTATTGTTTCAATCTTTATCACCAGTTTTGTCTGCCCTTGAACTTGTAAATGGAAATAAATAGTATTTTTCACTCAATATACTGTCTGTAAGAGCAGTTTATGTTATTGTGTAATAAAAGTTCATTTTTTCATATACATATTTTTATTCTTGCTTTATTGAACTATCATCTTCAATGTGATTTTGATAAGAACATTTCCTGTCCCATCTTTAGCAATATTTTCGTTAGCTACAGAGACAGAAAATGGAGAACGTACTTACAAAACTGCAGAGCTAGAAAGAGGCATGGTGCGATCAGAATTCTGCATAGAATAATTTTTAATGATAACCATTCGGTAGACTCACAACTCTATTTGCATAAATCACAAATCTACAGAACTGTCTTAGAAATCCTAAAGCTAGCTAATGGAAGAAAATTACATTTTCATTATATTGATATATCAAAACAGTATATCAATATGACAAATACATCAATGGAATATTTGCTTCGGTCATGTTTCTGGGAAGTATTTAATGACCTGGAAATGTGCCTTTGACAGAATAATAAATGATAAAATGTAGAATACAAAACTGAATACAGATGTGTGTGTATCCTATACTTATTATGACACCAATTTGCTAATTCTGATAAGCAAATCATTCGTAGCACTATAAAACAGAAAGATTAAATTTAAGCACGGTTATTTTGTGACTATGAGTTGCTTATGAGTGGCCATAATTTGTAATTTTACATTATGCTGTATTTCCTAAACGTTATTGTTAGCTTTAATAGTGTAGAGCCAATCCTTTTATCTTTGGGGAAGGTGGCCCGTCATGTCGTCTACAGATACAGCTAATTTTCATCCTGTTCTAGTGGATGTGTGTTTGGTGTTTCAGGTCTGCTGTGCTGGCTAGAAATGGAGCAGCCATTTAAATCCACTTCCTGATTTACAATAAAGTGCCTGGAGTAGCCCGCTATTAAGGACGGAGCTCAGGTTCGTTTTAAGGTATGGATTCCACAAAATGTTGATTCGAATTTCTGATGTCCTTTTTGCTACTTTCCATTTCTAATAAACATTGTAATTTGGTGTTGCATTTCTGCCAGATCCTACAAAACATTAAAAATTAGTTTTTGTCTTTTGTGAATGATAGAGGCATAACACCGAAACAGAAAATTCTGTTAATTAAAAGATAAAAAAATATATAGAAGAAACTAGGGAGACTAGAACTCATAACCTCAGCAGAGATCACCAGTTGTGAAACTTTTTCCCCTAAGTACAATCACTGTGCATGTGTAGTTGTCTTACAAACTAATTTTTTACTAAACGTTTGTAAATGACTTTTTATGTTAATAAATATTGACATATATTGATTTTTAATGAGTATTTCCTTGTTTGGTTGTACCATGTAAATTAGCAAATTTCATAAAGCAGAATGTTAAGAGTCCGTGATTCCAGACAGAGGATGAGGAGGGTGAAGTGCCCCCCCCCCCCCCGGAGATGGGTGTGACTTCCTGGCCGGGTTCCACAGGCACAGTGCAGACCATGAGGGGGCACTCAGCCTCTCTGTTTCCTTCCTGACAGTCTCTCTTTGGCCTTTGGGCCCTAGTTCAGGCATTGACAACCTTGATATTTTTGGACCTGAGGTCAGTGCTTGACCTGTGCCCATGGGTGGTGGGCATGGGTGTCAATGCACATTTTTCTGGGGGTTTTTCATGGATTATGAATTTTCAGAGAGACTTACAAATATATAGACATTAAGTATTGTTAAAGAAAAAAATTTTTTTTTGTCTGGGATCCAGCGGATCCCAGCCTAATGCTCTAGATTCTAATTTAATGAATATTTCCCTGGGAAATTTAGAAAGAGTGATTCAGGAATTGTTATCCAGCCATCATTTTAACAAAGAAATGTCAATTTTGGAAGGATTTGTCATTTTTGAAATAAAAAAGGCTAGCCAATTTATATATGCTTTTTAAATGTGCATTTGCTTTTCAATTTGTATTATGTCCTTTGTTGTCTTATAACTGTGGTAAGGATAAAAATAGTCATTGATGGTGATGATGTGGATGAGTAAAGATGACAATACTAGG